TTCTAATTCAAGCCGAAGCAGGCCCTGGGCTTTCACAGAATTAATTCCACGTGCCTCTTTTGCAAATGCTTTGATTTTCTAGCAGGCCCCTTCCATCGATATGATTAAAACCAAGTTATGCTTTTCTAGATGGTTTAAAGAGGGAAATGAGTGGAATAGGAAAAGAAAAATCTGATAAAGAGCTGGTGGGTTATTTCTGGTGTGGAATTAAATGAGACATTATCTAGCTTGCGGCGTGTTTGCATGCATACATGACCCTTTGTTAAAAAGAAGACTAAGTGTGATTGGATGGTTCCATTTATTTGAAAAACTATACATAATATGTGCACCGATTCACCAGATTGCTGCTGGTGGGGTGCCTAGCAACTTTTGCATTTCTCCTGGCCCAGTTTCCATGTATTTAACTCAGGACTTGATTTAAGCAAAGGGTCCTGGAACCTGGTTTGTTGGTATTCCAGCCCAGGACAGATTTTACTTATTTATTTATAAAACTTCTTAATATCTCCACATTTGCTGCTGTGTCAGAATGGCTTGTAGCAATTTAAAAGCCATGAAATCCAACAACGAATAACTAAAAGCAAAAATAAAACAGGTAAAAAGAGAGGGAAGTGCAGACCTAAAAACCCATTTAAACTGCAAGGGATTGACCCAGAATAGTCCTCAATTTAAAAACAGGTCAGATAAAGTGCTGATAAAGAGAGTTCCTTTAACCATGTACAGCAGGCATAGGCAAACTCGGCCCTCCAGATGTTTTGGGACTACAACTCTCATGATCCCTAGCTAACAGGACCAGTGGTCAGGGATGATGGGAATTGTAGTCCCAAAACATCTGGAGGGCCGAGTTTGCCTATGCCTGCTGTACAGAGTGCTTCCCAGACTCTGTGCCACTGAGTAACTACAACCAGCTGTGCCACACCATATCTGGAATTGCAGGCATTGTGGTTTCTTAGAAGCCTTGAGCACCAAATTTCAGTATTTCCCATGCTAACAAATCAGCATGTGTTCATGGGTTTTCCCAGTTTAATTTGGTTGTGATGCTCTCCCACAAATACTTTTTAAATTAATTATTCCGAGATTTATATCCCGTCAAGCGCGGCTCCCTCAAGTCCTCAGCGTGGTTAACGCTGTGTAAAAAGAATTTTTGGAATGGAATGAAACGCCACGTTAGTGCCAGTTTCAAGTCATGGGCCACATGGCATTGTGGTCGGTCCTGTACAACGGGGGTGGGGAGACTTCAAGCTTCTAGAAGTACTGCTTACTGGCTGTTGGAGGGGAGTGGCAGTTGCAGTCCAGTGTGGCTGTGATGCTGCCACGCAGACTTCCCGCTTCAATGCAGGCCTGAGAAGGACATCACTTCCTCCTCCACCACCGGCGCTTGTGGCTGTGGCTCTCCCACAATTGCAGCCAATCACAAGTGAGCTGGCAGGGCATGGCTGTGGGAGTGGACCAGAAGAGAAAACATCTTCCCTGCGGTTCCCTTCCTGGGTATTTAAGCCAGCCACACCCTGCACTTGGCTCCAGTTGGAGCTTGATTCCAAGGGATGAGCACGTCCCTGAAGAGACCTCCAAAACAGCCAAAGAATCAAGTGGCTGTAGCAGCCGTGCCATCTAGCGTCTCTGAAGTGGCCAAAGTAGTCTCCTGTGAGGGCAGCAGCAGCGCAAGGGCCATCTAAAGAGGGCAAAGAGAGGCAGCCTGAACTCACAATCTACTAGGTTTGCTTTTATTAGAATCCCAAGACCTGCCAGCCCAGAGTCCTTCACTGACCCCAACTGCTATCCTCCTCAGTCTAACCCCAACATATGTGAAGCTGGCTGTGAAGCCAGTACTACAGTAGAACCTCATGTGATGGATATTGCTGGAGGAATCTAACCATTTGGGTTTTCAGGTTGCAGAAAACCTGCAGCAAGGGCTTGAAGGGTTGTTACTCAGGGGTAAAGGAGATGCTCTGCGTGAAGAAGGTCTGAGGTATGATCACGACCACCATCTCTAGGTAGGGCTAGGAAGGACCCCTCTCTGAAACCCTAGAGAGCTCCTGGTGGTCAGTGTGGACACAATCTTGAGCTAGGTGGACCAATGGTCTCATTGATGAGGGCTCATCAGTGAGATCATTGGCCCATTTAGAAAGCACTGGTCCAAGAGATTTTCACAGGTCCAAGTGGTTTTCTGTTTGCCCTGCAAACAACCTGCTCTTTACCACTGAATTAGAGCAGATGGCAATCTGCGGGGAAACCCATTTGGGTTTTCTCAGAGAAATTGGTCAGACAAATGGAAGTGTGGGTGATCCCTCAGTATAAGGAACCTTCCTATCTTCAAAGAATCTGTCTGTAACCAAAGATCACTAGCAGTCATCCAGAACCTGCAATGAGGTTCAGTAGGGATGTTCTGCAATGGCCCTAAGCTATGTATTCACTGGGCTCTTTCAAGAGATGTAAAAAATGATTCTTCTCATGACGTGTGCATAACGCTCCATTAGCCAACTGCCATTTGATGTAATTTAGTGTGGCGTTTATCCTATTGACATAAGTTATTTCCCATACAATCCAGAGAATTGAGCTGAGCAGGGAGCCTTGCACTCTTGACAATGGGGAGATGGATACTTATTACCTGAATGGTTATCAACATGAATTGTATAACAAATAGCATGCCGGGCCTGATCTGTGTTTTGGCTGAGATGCTGTGTGTTTATTTCTCAGAGTTATTTTATAATGGGACACTCGTGGGAGGTGGAAGGGCCGTTACACAATCCAAATGAATGCACGTTGTTAAGGAGAATGCAGCAGATATAAAAGCAAAAAAGGGGGGAAATTGTATTCCTTTTTAGCACTGGCTTAACAACCACCAGCTCATCAGTTTGGGACTAGGGGTGTGAGAAGGTAGTGATTTCTTTCTTGCCCCATGTTTGTCACATGCAGCACTGTTTCTGTTCCACTGCAGTTCAGCTTCCAGCAAAAACATATTCCATTTGCCTCACTGTCTGCTGTGGTGCAATAACGTAATTAATCGTCTTATTATTACATTAACCCACAGCATTCATTTCAATGCAAAAGAAATGCACCGCAAATCAGGAAGGAGGGAAATGTCATCAATTACATATCAGTTGTGGACTGAAATCAACAACAGCAGCAAATACTGATTGTATGTGCTTTGCTGGTTTATTGACAACGTGGGATGAATAAACTTTGGTTGGCATCCATCTGTCTAAGCAAGCACTGGCAATTTGCACTCCCATTTCTATCAGAATTCTCCAACATCAGTTTCTGGGACCCTCTCTTGGTACCTGGGCATTAGAAGCATCAACCTCGGATGGCTGCCATTCGTTACCCCAGGCCATGTGAAATATATGCAAATTCACATCCAATCACAAGGATTATAGGAGCCTTCCCCAACCTGCTGCCCTCTAGGTGTGTTGATATACAACTCCCCTGTGCCTGCCTGGATTGCTGAGAGTTGCAGTCCAAAACATCTGGAGAGTACCAGGCTAAAGAAGGTTGAATTAGGGCACACACACCACCTTGCCCCATGATAGAGGGAGCCCAGGGCCGCGTGATGTCAGTGTGCTGTGTGTGCATGCATGACATTGTATGCACACAAATGCCTGGCGGCATGTCTATGCAACTACCAGAGAAGTGGGGGGGAGCAGCCCTGTCAGGAGCTCGTCCTACACTTGAGTAGGACCCTAGCAGAGACACATGCCCAACTGGCATGTTCCCTCCCTCCTGGTCAATCGTTCGGGAGCTTCAAAAGCTTTCTTCTGCCCGAACATCACAGCGCCCAATGCCAACAGACATCGGCACACTTAGGGATCCGCAGAGTGTTCGCAGCTTGCGTGACAGACCTCAGCAACTCAGCATTTTTGTTAATCAACTTTATTTACATATAAATTACACACAGAGCACTGCGACATGGCTCCCTCTCTCTCTCAAGCATCAGACAGCAAAGTGAAAAAACAAAGGACAATAATCCCACTTCACGGAACACAGTAACACAAACATCCTGTCTCCGTCACTTCCCACTTTGTGGAGTCAAAATATACACCGTCATGTGAAAGACAACATTCCCATGACTGCAATCATGGAGCAGGAATTCTAACAAAACCTCTGAATTAGAATTTTGTGGCCTCCATGGCCCCCCATATTTGGCACCCTTGAATTTAACACTTGCCTGGTCTGATTCAAGATTTGTTTCAAAAACATCGTAGAAAACAATTTTGGATTTTGTTCAGAGTTTTGGTGAACAGGGCCAGGAGGATGACCTGATACTGCTGCAGAACCAACCCTCCCTGTGTGCTTGCACTGTAATGCTTGCTTGAACTGAGCAGTTATAATAAACAGGTTCTTGCAAACAAAAGACTTGAATGGGTCTTTCCTGCAAAGCAAAGGGCACCTTGGTTTACTGGGCAAAGAGGACCCTACATACTCAGAGATGCAACTGGCTACCATACACGGTTATTGCTATTGCCTGAGAGGGGAATGTTGTTGCCATAGCAACCTGCCTCCCTGTGAGTGGCCAAGAACATAGGGAGGGGGGAGAAGGAAAAGGGAGAGACAAGCAGCCTCACAAGATAGTTAGCTGCAAGATGGAGGCACTCAAGAAGCACCTAGTGGGGGGCTCCCAGTTTGCTGACTGGTTAGGTAGAGAGGAAGCTGCCCTATACAGAGTCAGACTAGGTTTCAGACAGCAGTCTGTCCCATTTCTACCTGGAGATGGCAAGGATTGAACCTGGACCTTTACTCTACACCTGAGCTACAGTGATATATGCCATGCTTTAAGGGTTCCATAAGCAGAGGACTAGAGAGGGGTTCCTGCCCTTATTCAGCTTACAATCGGGGTGGAGAACCTGTGGCCCTCTAGGTGTTGATAGGCTACACACCATTTGCCAAGTTGGGGCAGGTGGTAGTTAGGGTCTGATAACATCTGGAGGGTCTCCAGTTCCCCTCCTCCTTGATCCAATTTCTGAGAGGGGAGAAGGAGGCAAACCAAGAGAGGAGAGCAAAGTGGTGTCCACATGTTACATTTAATGAGTATACAATCTGTGTACACAAACAAGCTGAGCTGTGCGCTTGTACACATGTGATGTTCACTGAGTGTACGGTCTGTGTACTGTTTACAGTGTTAGAGATTTGGGGAGTCAGTTTGGATGATGACGACTGCAGGCCCCTTCCAAACCTGTGATCCTATAGCTGTAAAAGTAAAATGTTTAAGAGGAAACTTGCTAAACCAGCCAAAACAGTTCCTTTCTTAAGGCAATCGCCCTGGCTGGCCAGTTAACTACAGCCATTTGCATGTCCAAAGAGGTTGCTCTGTTGCTCTGGGGACAAATGGGTGGGCCTTTTCCCACCATGTCATTCCAGGATGGAGAGAAAGAGAGGCTTGTCTTGCTCTGTGCTGGACTCAGAACTGTGGCTTGAGGATCTCCCTGGGAACCTAATGGGCAGACAAGATATGTTGGGGGCTGTTAGTGCTGTGAGCCCTTCCATCCTATGCTCAGGTTATAAAGGTAAAAAGGGTGAAGGGATCCCTGACCATTAGGTCCAGTCGTGGCCGACTCTGGGGTTGCGGCACTCATCTCGCTTTATTGGCCGAGGGAGCCGGCGTACAGCTTCCGGGTCATGTGGCCAGCATGACTAAGCCGCTTCTGGCGAACCAGAGCAGCATGTGGAAACACCGTTTACCTTCCCACCGGAGTGGTACCTATTTATCTACTTGCACTTTGACATGCTTTCGAACTGCTAGGTTGGCAGGAGCAGGGACCGAGCAACAGGAGTTCACCCTGTTATGGGGATTCGAATTGCCAACCTTCTGATCGGCAAGTCCTAGGCTCTGTGGTTGTATACAGATTGTATACAGGTGTAAATAAACCATATATCCTAAAGACACCACAGTAGCCATTGGTCTTCATTCAAAAGAAACTAAGCACAGGAGCCTCTCACAGCTCACAGACTGGGGTGTGTGAAAGAATGCAATAGCTGAGCTGTACAAATCGATCTTTTGCACAAATACCTGTACATGTGTAGAGACAGCTGGCATCTGTGTTCGTTGTAATGTGTGAACGAGCCTGGAGAAAGTAATGGGTTATAGATTGCACAGATATTGAGGGTGGGGGGGTGAAGAGAAGAGAATCAAACACTGTTTCCTTGAGCTGACTTTGGCTCCCTACAGCCAAGTCTCAGAAGCCCCCGGACTCAATCAATAGATGCTTGTTCCAGCGACACTGAAGAGCCTTGTCTTCAGTAGTTTTCTTCCTCAAGTGGATGTTTCCTTGCACGCAGGAGGATTTCAGGGACATTTCACTTGTAATAAAAATAATCTCAACAGCCTTTTAATTGGTTCTTGTGACACTTTGCTTGTAATCAATGTTCTCCTCCGGTCTGGCCTGTAATTTGGTTCTTGAGAAAGCAAAACAAGAAAATGGGAGTCACGTGCGCCTTCAATTAGGTGGGGACACAGGGCTGTCTGCTCTTCTGGGTACCGGTGAATCCACAACCTCTGGGAAATGCTTGGCAAATGGCCTTTAACAAATACATGAACTGGGGGAGGGTAAAACTGAGGGAAAAATGAAAATGAGAGCCTGTAATTTCAGCTGAATAATGGCAGGAGATTGAATCATAAACACTAATAAAATGACATCATGGCTGGACATGGCCCAGCAAAAGACTCTCTGTATTCCAGCTGCAGATTGATGGGCATAAACAAATTAGTCCCTAAATCATTGCAGTGGGAGGTTGTTTGCATTTATCTGTTTAGATTTCTAGTCTTCCCCCCTTGAGTTAGATGTCATTAAAACACCAAATTCAATGCAACCAACAATATAAATACAGTGGTACCTCGGGTTACATACGCAATGGTTGTTACCAAGAGAAATATATAACAATACTATTATATGCAGGAGCCTTAGAAGATATGTGGTAAAACTGTGAAGCTTCCATCAACCCACCTTGGACATCAGAGGAGGCAACCACACCAGATGTTTACAAGGCTGCACTTCCACTCCAGCAATGTAGTCTCTATGGTTGGCAGCTATGACTACTGAAGGGCCACGACCCCTTAAGCCAGGCTTCCTCAACCTTGGCCCTCCAAGATGTTTTGAGACTACAATTCCCATCATCCCTGACCACTGGTACTGCTAGCTAGGAGTCATGGAAATTGTAGGCCAAAAACATCTGGAGGCCCGAGGCTGAGGAAGCCTGCCTTAAGCTCCTCCTGCCACCAGCATCACTGTAGTTAGATGCATTGAGTGGTACCGGCTGGCAGAGCTTGAGGAGAGCAGCTGCAGCAGCTAGTGCCCCTCTCCTCCCCACAAGTCCTGCTGCACCACTGTGAGAAGCTAGGCTGCCTCCTCCTCCTCCCCTCACCCTTTCTTGCCCCCTATCCCCACTTGCAGAATTCAGGACTCTTAATGACATAGTGAGAAGCTGTGACGTCTTCAGAGTTTTAGTGATGGTCTGTCAAGGAGCTGTCAAGGAGCCAGGTCAACCACAGGGCAGGTACACACACTGCAGGCATGGAATACAATTAGTTCCTCATTAGCAGAAAACTACAAAACAGCAGAGTCCTCTGCTAAGATAATCCAGCTAAGATGTTGCTGAAACTGGCCAGTAGCTCCACCCCACTAGACTTTCACTCTGGATCCTTCCCAAGCAGGTGAAGGCTGCATCGAGGGGGCGAGCTCCACCTCTGAGCTGGGCTGGCCCATGGTTCAGCATTGTGCAGGACTCTCCTCGATCAGGGTATCAGACAGGAACTGCTGTGTAGCTGTCGGGGACTGGGCAGAGGAGGAATGGTGGAGACCGCCTCCCTAGGCTGACCCTTCCAGAGAAGAAGGAGACAGTTCAGAATTACAAGAGGGTTTGAGGGAGGTCACAGCTCAGAGGCAGATGAGGGGCAAAGCTGGGAAATAATGGGGGAGGGGGGAAGAAGAAGACGCACCAGGGGAGAGACAGCTGACAGACTCAGTGTCTTTAGAAAGCATTCCAGACCTCTCTTCTCCCAGAACCTGGCAGGCATTGAAAGTAGGAGAGCAGAGAGCTCAAAGGCAAAAAGCCCTTTCCAGCACCCATAGCGATGATGCATGAGGAAGTGGGAGAGACGGAGGGGGTGGAGATTCACTCTGAGCAACTCCGTTACTCCAAGAGGCTGCATTTCTAGCCCTTCTCTGTGAATATTGAATAAAAAGCACTGGTAAGAACTTTTCTCGTCTTATCCCTTCCCGGCAACCTACCGCGGGGGTTTGGATCCTCTGACACTGGACAGTAGCAGAGCCAACCTCTGACTCCTCTCTGAGTCTGTGCTCGCACTGTGACTGTCAGCTTCTAACCCTGTCCTGGAAGACCTTCGTTCTCCTGATCGCTCAAACCACCTGCTTCTAGCACCTCCCAGTTCATCCCTTCTGCAGGCTGCTCTTCAGGGTCCCACCACCAGGATCTGAGATCTAAACACATCGTCTTCTGTGCCCTCCCTGGGGAGCTCTTGGGTGGGCAGCTCCCACCAATCTTCCTCATCCAGCCAGTCCCTGACGCAGTCACAGCATTTTCACGGCAACTGGAGACTGCTACCAATTGGAGACTGCTACCAATGGGATGCGGGTGGCGCTGTGGGTTAAACCACAGAGCCTAGGACTTGCCAATCAGAAGGTCGGCAGTTCGAATCCCCGCGACGGGGTGAGCTCCCGTTGCTCGGTCCCTGCTCCTGCCCACCTAGCAGTTTAAAAGCACGTCAAAGTGCAAGTAGATAAAAAGGTATCGTTCCAGCGGGAAGGTAAATGGCGTTTCCGTGCGCTGCTCCCGTTCGCCAGAAGTGGCTTAGTTATGCTGGTCACATGGCCCGGAAGCTGTACGCCAGCTCCCTCGGCCAATAAAGCGAGATGAGCGCCGCAACCCCAGAGTCGGCCATGACTGGACCTAATGGTCAGGGGTCCCTTTACCTTTACCAATGGCTACCGACCAGGACAGCTATGCTCTGCCTCCATGGTGGGAGGTAGTAATGCTTCTTAATTCTGGTTGCTGGAAATCACAAGAGTGCTCTTGCGCCGAGGTCCAGGATGCTGGATTAAATGGGCTATTGGCCTGATCCAGAAGGCTTGCCTTATTTGTTTTGTTCTTAAATTAGGACAGCGCCCTGCCAGCATGTTGACTCTGCGCAAAAGAAGATTTGCAATGCTCTCCATAAATTCACCTTCCAGAGGAACTTCAAAATGTGGTGCCATGTTTTATAATAACAATCTAGAATGCTGCAGTGCCCAAAAAAATTCTGAGGCATTGCTGCAAAACACTGCCATTTTTTATCAATAAGCTAGTAAATTAACATTTCCCGACCAGGAAGTAAGGCAATGGAGTGCTGCCACCTGGTGGTAGACGTGGGGGTAGCTTCCCCTGGGCAGAACTGTATCATGCTTAAGGAATGTATTGGTGAAAAATGTAATCCTGGGTGTAGATTAAGAGATATTGAATCTGAATGCTAACTGGGACTGAAGCAATTATTCAGGACAGCTAAATTTAAGCAAATGGCTTGCAAGGATAAAATGTTTGGGAAACTAGTAATTTAGATAAATGAGACTGATATACATGGGGTTAAATCAATATGACAAATACATGCTGAATATTTTGGCCAAACGATGGGTACTTATAGTATTTCATTAGTAAATAATAACGTGTTTAGTCGGTTAAATTACGGTCCTTAGTCACAAAGACTTTTAAAAATCTGAGTTTCAAAGAAATTTAGAAACTGTGTTTTCTTTATTGATTAATTCCGGTTGAAATTAGCCCAAATTGAATTTCTTCAATTTTATTCTAATTAGATTACTTTGAATGTGCTAAATGTAAATGTGTGTAATTTAACAAATTGTGCTTTAATTTTTATTTTAATTAACCATTTTAATTTAATCAACACATTTATCATTTTTAATGAATTTATGGCTTTAATTTGATTTAGTATGTAATTTGCCATTCAGATTTATTAAGGTCATGCCAAAAAGAAGCCCTCATTAGGTCATGTGTAACATCACGTAGCAACCTCTCGGGAGTGCAAAGCAATGTTCATCTGGCTTGTAAGTGCCGGTAATTCTCTGTATTTCATACAGGGAAACAGTTTGTAGGACCGTATCCCATTTCTAGTGTTCACCAAAGACTCCTCAGCAAGCTTTGCCATCATGAGATAAGGAGGCAGGTCTATGGATCAGGAAACTGTCTAAGGAACAGAAAGCAGAAAGGAATGCACAGTTCTGAAAAGAAAGGGATATAGAAAATGGAGTCCCCCAAAGATCAGTAATGGAGGTCTGAGCTTTTTCATGAATAGTGCAGGGTTAGGGACGAAAAGTGAGGTAGCCGAGTTTGCTGTTGATACAAAATTGTTCAGGGTGCTTTAAACAAAAAGTGGTTGTAAAGTGCTCCGGAAGAATATCTTCAAACTGAGTGAATGGAGAGTAAAATGGAAATGGTTCACATCTGTCTCGGGAGTCAATGGAGAAGAACCACCTTTGTGGGTGAAGTCAAGACTGTTGGAAGGTTGGCTGTAGAGACGGATATAGGAGAGACCATGTTTTGTTGCAGCTAGGGCAGATGAAGGTGTCTGGCCTTGCAGCCTAAATTATCAACAGCCTGGAGCAACTCCCCCATGAAGAAAGGTTTCAACTTTGGAGGATTTTTTAATTTAATTTAGAAAAAAAGGAGAGGGAAAAAAGGACACAACAGAGGCGTATAAAATTATCCATGGAGTGAAGAAAGTGGATAGAGTCCCTCCCCCCAATATGTCTACCCAATAGGGGTGTTATGTACTGAGTTGAATAGGATCCAAAATGCAGCAGTCTGATAGGTCCTAGAACAATAGGATTCAGAATGCAGCAGTCTCACTGGTCCACAGGAGCCACCCAATCAAGCGCCAGGTAGAAGTGAATCCACAACCTGATTGGCCTACAGGAGAATCCCGGAATTAGCCAATCACATGGCGCCCATTGTGTAAATAATGTATATAAAGCAGACATTCTGGGGGAACTTCCATTCCTCCTCACCACTATGAGCTGAATAAAGAGCATGAAATCCTCTCTCGACTCCGAGTATATTTCAAAGGGCCATGCAGTGAAGCTGAACATTGGGAGATTCAGGACAGAATCAGAGGCACTACGCCCTTATCACCACCATGAGTCATTGTGATAACAGGATGTTGTATTAAATGGAACTTTGGTCCAATCCAGCCAGTCTCTTCTTAAGTACTGAACAGCTCTTCCCTCTCTCCAGGGAACACTGGAAATTGTAGCTTGTTAAGAGTGCTGGGAACTCTTAACAAACTTCAGTTCTCGGGATTCTCCCTGGCTGTTAAAGCGGAATGATAGAGCTTTAAATGGTGGGTGTGGATGTGACCTTAGGCCACATTCACTCCCTTTAAGGCACTACAATACTACTTTACTTCCTGCCAACCTAGCAGTTCGAAAGCACACCAGTGCAAGTAGATAAATAGGTACCGCTCCGGCGGGAAGGTAAACGGCATTTCCGTGCGCTGCTCTGGTTCGCCAGAAGCGGCTTAGTCATGCTGGCCACATGACCCAGAAGCTGTACGCCGGCTCCCTCGGCCAATAAAGCGAGATGAGCGCCTCAACCCCAGAGGCGGTCACGACTGGACCTTATGGTCAGGGGCCCCTTTACCTTTACCTAATACTACTTTAAGCAGTCATGGCTTCCCCCAGATAATTCTGGGAGCTGCAAAGAGTGATGAGAGTTGCGAGGAGGCCCCTATTCCCCTCGCAGAACTCCAATTTTCAGAGAGGCTTAACAATCAATCCTTCACAGGGGACTCTGGGAATTAAAGCTTCCAGTGACCAGGATCCTCTGAGGGAAGCCATGACTGTGGGTGTGACCTTAGTCACTTCACCAGACTACAGTTCCCAGGATTATCTGAGGCAGCTCCAAGCTTTGAAAACCTTCTTCCTTCTTGTAAACACAAACAGTGGGCTGTTGTACTCATGTTTTGCTTGTGTGTTTTCCAGAGGCATCTAGTTCGCCCCTGTGGGAAACAGGAGACTGAATTAGATGGGCCTTTGGCCTGATCCAGCCACAGGGCTTTTCTGATATCCTCACTTTTCTTGCAGCCTCTGTGATTAGCGATTTGGCTTCCTTCCTGGCACTAATTGCTTTTACAACCCCTCTTGTTCTGCCTCGGCAAAGAGGTGAGCGGTATTCCAGGCCTCCATGTCCTTTGTTCCACCGCTGATTCTGTTCCTTCTCCTATCTGAAAGTGCTGCAGCTTAAATTCTTTCTGTTGCCACTTTGATGTTGCAGGTTTTCTATGGCGTCTTTGCTGCTGAGATAATACAGTTCCATCTGCTTCCTTTTCAACACCAATTTCGTCTCGACTCTCTTTTTTTTGTTCGGATACAATAGCCTCATCTCAGTAGACCTTATTGTCCCATAATTGCACTCCTATCTCTATGGCAGACGGGACTCGTTTGGATGCGATCACCTTTTTCTTCCCCCCTCCATCTAAATAATAAAATTTATCCATTCATTCCTCACTCTCTTTGCTCACCTGCCTGTGATGGATCTGGCATCCACATGAATAAAAAAAGCCCTTTACACAACAGCATGGTGGAAACTCTGCCTCCTCTTCTTGGGGATTCGCATGGCAGGAACATAACTAGTCACTTCCTCTCCTGGAGATAATCAATCTTGGCATGAAAGCTTCAGGGAGCTCACATCACTGCATGACTAAGAGACTGAGTGATGTCTCCCAGTCTGAATCTCACCTTCTGCTGTGAACTCACCAGACGACATTAGGCTAGCTGGAATTCTTCTCTGCCTCAGCTTTTCCATCTGTAATATGGGGATAATATACCGTATTTACTCAAATCTAATGCACCATCAAATCTAATGTGCACCTCAATTTTCAGAAACTTGAAACCAAAAAAGTATTTGCTGGTGAATGTAAATGTGCCATCAAATCTAATGCGCACCTTAATTTTCGCAACGTGATTTGGCCCAAAAAGGTGAGCATTCGATTCGAGTAAATATGGTATTAACACTCACCGACGGGCTATTGGTACAGGGTCACAGGGAAATAATGCATATGAGGTGTGTTGAACTGTTAAGAGTGCTATACAGATGCTTTTGCTGCTGTTTGGTAGTCGCACAGCAGAAAACTAGTTGCATTGGCACAAGGATTTCCCCTTGCACAATGCATCTTCCCTCCTCTTCTCCCCTCATAAATCTGTTTTAAGGATTCCCCCAGTCCTCTGGAGACATGCGGGATGTGGGAGCAGAGGAGGAAAAGTGTACATTTATGCGCTAACAGAATGAGCTCACCGGATACTGAAGCCGAGGGAAATAAAAATGAATAGATTCACCCATCCCTGACCTCAGGTGCGCACACAGCTGACCAAGACCAATCCTTTGAGGTCTCCCAAATTCATGCCCAGTCCTGCTAGGCCAGACTTGCTTCCATCTTGCCTCAATCTGCCTGCCACATCACGGAAAGTGAACAAAAGCCCAAGGGAATCCTCAGAGGCCTGGGCTTTTCTACTGGCAAGATTTGTGCAACCGTTAAAGGGCCATTCCCTCCCCTCTCTCGCTCTCTCTATGACTCCCTGCTTCACCTTTCTTATTCTTTTTTTGTCCCCTGCAATAAACCAGTTCCCAGCAATTGCTGTAATAACAACACTTTTTTGCCGAGGGAATTGGGCTGCAACAGAGTCCCTATCATTTGAGAAAGGGCTGTGATTATCCCTCCTTCGGCGGCCTGCAGGACCACACTTTATCATACAACTAGCAGCCGCAAGTATGTCTGGGTCAGTGGGGGAGCAGGACACAGCACCATCTGCCTTTGGGGCACTGGTTTCCATTTCTTTTCCTCTCCAAACAAATCACTCTCCCAGTGGCAGCTGGTAGCCCCTGGACCTGATGGAGCAACCTGGGAACAATAAGGTGGCATGGAAGGAACCAAGTTGTTTTGGGATTCCTTTAGTCCTCCTCTCTTCCAAAGGTGTGGACACTGAAGCATGGCACTGCCTGAGCATCTAACCTGTTGCAATTTGTGGTGTAATAATAATAATAATAATTTATTATTTATACCCCGCCCATCTGGCTGGGTTTCCCCAGCCACTCTGGGCGGCTTCCAAAAAACACTAAAATACATTAACCTATTAAACATTAAAAGCTTCCCTAAACAGGGCTGCCTTCAGATGTCTTCTAAAAGTTTGGTAGTTATTTTTCTCTTTGACATCTGGTGGGAGGGCGTTCCACAGGGCGGGTGCCACTATCGAGAAGGCCCTCTGACTGGTTTCCTGTAACTTGGCTTCTTGCAGCGAGGGAACCACCATAAGGCCCTCGGCGCTGGACCTCAGTGTCCGGGCAGAACGATGGAGGTGGAGACCTTCAAGTATACTGGACCGAGGCCGTTTAGGGCTTTAAAGGTCAGCACCAACACTTTGAATTGTGCTTGGAAATGTACTGGGAGCCAGTGTAGGTCTTTCAAGACCGGTGTTATGTGGTCTTGGCGGCCACTCCCAGTCACCAGTCTAGCTGCCGCATTCTGGATTAGTTGTAGTTTCCGGGTCACCTTCAAAGGGAGCCCCACATAGAGCGCATTGCAGTAGTCCAAGCGAGAGATAACCAGAGCATCCACCACTCTGGCGAGAGATAACCAGGGTTCCCCGCCCCACACCTAAATTTTCAGCCCTTTCCAGAATGTGGCGGGATATTAAATGGTTCAGGGGACCAAGCTTTGGCACCAGCAGGGACATAGCGTGGGGCGGCCCAGGGAAGCCATGGCCCTAGGCACAGATTTTTTGAAAGGGCACGAGGGGGCACAACTAGGCGTGCCCCCTGGCTCCCTCACTCACCAAGCTGTGCCTGGGCCAAGCCTTCAGGGCTGGGGCAGCGGTTCCACCTCCTTCCCCTCATGGCCGGTGAAGGGATGCCCCTGCCCCTGGGATGGCCAAGAGGCAGGGGGTGGGCGCTGCTGCCCATCGAGGAGAGGCAAGAAGCTCTGGAAGCCACCTCCTACTTTGCAAATGGGATGCTCCTTCGAGCCTCTTCCTCCCTTAACTGGCTGCCAGCTCAGACTGCCATGGCTCGGTCAGCAGGGAGGGCTGGGGCTGGGGTGGCCTTCCACTGTGCCACTCTGTGACATGCCCTGGGCACCAAGAACCCACGCTACACAACTGGACACCGGATCACTAGATAGACTAGGACCCACTCTATTCTTGCGACGTGTGTGTGTGTGTGTGTGTGTGTGTGTGTCACACTATAGTCCCAAGAGTAGAGTGGGTGGAGGAGAGAGAGAGAGAGAGAGAGAGAGAGAGAGAGAGAGAGAGAGCTCTCTATGGACATAGCAGCCACTTTTCACTGCTCATTCCATTTTGACCCATTTGCATTACTCCACCGGCTTCCATACTTCCAATTACCTTTGGGCCAGATTCCTCCATCGCCACCAGGTGTTCCTTTCTTCTCTCTCCTCTTTCGTGTCCCCTGGGTTGTCACTCCCCGGAACTCAATTAGGCTTGTCAGGTTACCTTTAAGCTGATTTAAATTCAGCTTCACGAACCGAGCGCAGTGGAGAAGAGGGAAAACATGAAGAAGATGAGCCCACCCAACCACCGATGGTGCCTCCAGCCATGGAGAATGAGGTGGGCTGAGCGAATGAAAGGCCAACGAGAGAGAGAGAGAGAGAGAGAGAATACTGAGGAAGCTTTGTGACAGAGGTGGCATGAGGAGGATTCCAGGTGAGCCGGCGCAGCTGTCAACAGAGGTGGGTGCGCATTGCCTTCGGCTGGCAGTTCCGCCTCCACACAGAAGCCCGTCAAAAAAACACCTTCATAAATATTGTAACAGAAGAGGGGGGAGGTGAGCATGGAACAGGTAAGATGTAGCTAACTGTGCAGAAATCTTGTCTCTCTTAACACACTTGCAAGCCTCAATAGGAAACAGGATTACTTCGGTTAAATGGAAGCTGGTCCGTGAGGGCAAAAAAAGCTCTTCCCCACCAACCTCAGCCCATCTGCTTCCCTTCTTGCTTACAACCAGTTTTGAGGGTGGCACTGCCTGGCAGCTTCTTCCTCCTTAAGACTCATCCATACTGCGGTTTAATGTTGATTCTAAGTGTGTCTTGCACCTCCCTTAATTCCATATGCTGTTCTCCTCCAAATCACTGTCTTCCCACACTTTCCCCTTCCTTCCTTGATCTGGATTTTCCCATGCTGCTCTCCTTACCCCTGCTAGGGGGAAAGCCAGACCAAGGGAAATGAAATCCTGGGAAGGCAACGATTTGGAAGAGAACGCCATATGGACAATGGAACATTCATGGAGGTATGCGAAGCACTTAGTATCCACTTTAAACAACAGTATGGATGAGCCCCGCATCTCCGCGTCACCCTTGTGCAACTCAAGCAGGGAGGAGGATGGGGACAAAACTAGGATTAGTTGGCCCTGCCTGTCATTGGCTCAGTCTCCTGTCTGTCTTTAGCTCTGGCTCCACCTACTGTTGGGCTCCATGCCTTTCACCCCACCAGTCCCAGTGAGCAACAACCACCACAGATTCAGTTATTGTTATGTTTTTGTTCCAGCAGATTCCAGATCAGAATAGCATCTCATAACACCATGCCTGTGTGGGAGGCTGGGTTGCCTAGCGAGTAAAATCTTGAATCATGGAGACCATGGATCATACTTGGTCTCCTTCCATGGGCTTGACATCTGGGCCTTCAGCAAAGTCAGTGGAAGTTTTTCAGGTGAGGAGAAGGATGATGTGTTGTTGCTATAAGAATACAGTCGTACCTCGGGATACAGACGCTTCAGGTTACAGACGCTTCAAGTTACAGACTCCGCTAACCCAGAAATAGTACCTCGGGTTAAGAACTTTGCTTCAGGATGAGAACAGAAATCATGCAGCGGCAGCGGGAGGCCCCATTAGCTAAAGTGGTACTTCAGGTCGAGAACAGTTTCAGGGTAAGAACGGACCTCCAGAACGAATTGAGTTCTTAACCCGAGGTACCACTGTATAAGGAGAGTCTGCAGGATCAGGCCCGTGGCCCATCTAATCCAGCATCCTTTTCTCACAGTGGCCACCCAGAGGCTTGTGGGAATCCCTCAGGCAGGACATTAGCACAAGACCACTTTCCCCTCCTGTGGTCTCCAGCAACTTGTATTCAGAGCATTACTGCCTCTGAGATGGTCCTTTTCAGGTGGGGTGGGGGAAAACAGCAACAGCCAATGCTTCTCCCAGTCTACTCTCTCCCTTCCCCGCCCCCTACCTTCCCTTTGGCGACCTGGCTGCTCAACATGGGAGAGAATCACATATCCTTTTATGTTTATGTTTATTTTTTTAAGCCCGGGCCAGTGGAAATCAATAGCGTTGTGGCAGTCTCCTCTACAGAGCGGCGTCTTTCCATGGGATTTTCACAAAAGACCTTTCTAGTTACATGTCAGAAAGGCGAGTTATTTATTCTAATTTCCTCTCAGCCTGCCTGAGCAGCAGAAGCATCTGCCTGCCTCCCTGGCTCTCTGCCCCCTCTGGGAAATTCATAGCGATGAGGTATTTGCGCCCTGGAATCGATGGTGCGAAATGAATTATTGGCAGCTTTCTCAAATCGGAGCCGCTGCTTTTTCTCTGTAGCTGTGGCTGCCTCAGCCCTGCTGAAGCTGGGAGCTGTCATCACCAGAACCTGCGGTGACCCAGCCTACTGCAGAAACACTCGCAGGGTGCTGTGTTTCAGCACAGCTGTGATACTAGTTTCCTTGATCTAGACTGACACAAGCAGGATACTGGCTGGAGCAGAAACGTTATGGCTCAGAACATCCATTCCACCCACTCTCTCTTTGTAGATCTCCGGTGTGTGTTTTATTATCTTATCCACCATGAGCCATTGGAAGTGAGTGAAGTCAGAGCTCAGGTATAACACTATTAGCCAGTGGTGTGGAGTGAAATTTTTTGTAGGGCCACAGAGGCACCAGCTTGTGAGGGCGATTGTGGGGCCCAACATTGCATGTGTGACATTGTGACGTCCTGACATCACACATGTGAGCATCATGCCTCCCTCCCTAAGCTGGGCAGAAGCTTCACGGGTTTGGGGAAGGAAGCGCAAGGCTTTAATACTTGAATACTCTAATTTACCAGGAACATTTAGGGAACTAGCCTAGCCCCCCTAGTCTATTGACCGCACACCGCCGCTAAAAGCACACCTGTCATACAAATGCAGAGTCACAACTTGCATTTTTTATTTTATAAAAGCAAAATTTATACAGTGGTACCTCGGGTTAAGTACTTAATTCGTCCAGAGGACCGTTCTTAACCTGAAACTGTTCTTAACCTGAAGCACCACTTTAGCTAATGGGGCCTCCCGCTGCTGCCGCGCCGCCGGAGCACAATTTCTGTTCTCATCCTGAAGCAAAGTTCTTAACCCGAGGTACTATTTCTGGGTTAGCAGAGTCTGTAACCTGAAGCGTATGTAACCTGAAACGTATGTAACCCGAGGTACCACTGTATACCAATGAATTGTAACAGAAGCTTAAAGCAGCTTATTAATTTACAAGTCTTGCAGGACATTGTTCCTGTTCTTGTGGTTCAGGAAGTCCAGTCCCCATTTTTAGGAGGGGGGAAAACAAATTCATGCATGGTGTGCCTTAATCTTCACAAACACTTTTAAAGCAATTATTAACAGCTTCGTGACTGAGTGGGAACTTCAACCCAGTCGCAATCCAACATTCAATGAAAGTGTGCAGGTGATTGAAGAGGAGGGTAGGTCAATGACAGTACAAGTACAGTCGTACCTTGAAAGTCGAATGGAATCCGTTCCGGAAGTCCATTTGACTTCCAAAACATTCAGAAACCAAAGTGTGGCTTCTGACTGGCTGTAGGAAGCTCCTGCAGCCAATCAGAAGCCACAGAAGCCCTGTTGGACGTTCAGCTTCCAAAAATACAGTAGTTCACAAACCAGAACAGTCACTTCCAGGTCTGCAGCATTCGGGAGCCAAAACATTCAAGAACTAAGCTGTTTGAAAACCAAGGTCCGACTGTACTACCAATAGCCATTTGGCAGAGCCAACTTTTCCCTGACAAGCTGGAAACCTAGGTAACGTTTCCCAGAGCTCAGTTTCAGACAGAACATAGAAAGCTGCCCTATACTGAGTCAGACTGCTGGCTCCTGTAGTTCAGTATCATGTACACCGACTGGCAGCAGTCAAAGGTGGATTTAGGGCAGCGCAACTGGTTCCTCTGCACGGGGCACTGGGCCAGGGGGGCACCGCAGGGCGCCACTGCTATGATGTAGTGCACATGCAAAACAGAAGGCAAGTGGCAGGGGGCACCGTATGTTGACCTTGCACAGGGCACCACTGAAATTTGGAAGACCAAAGTCTGCCCCCCCCCCCGCAGCAGCAATCTGGAGCTTGAGACAGGGATCCTTTCCCAGCCCCGCCTGCAGATTCCAGGTATTGAATCTGGACTGTCTGCCTTGGTCAGACCACACCTTGAGCAATGTGTCCAATTCTGGGCACCACAGTTTAAGAAGGATATATATTGATAAGTTGGAATGTGTGCAGAGGAGGGCAACCAAAACAATCAAGGGTCTGGAAAGGAAGCCTTATGAGGAAAGGTTGAGGGAGTTGAGTATGTTTGGCCTGGATAAGAGGAGACTGTGATGAGATATGATGGCTATCTTCAAATATCTAAAAAGTTGTCACATGGAAGATGAAGGAAGCTTGTTTTCTGCTGCTCTGGAGGACAGGACCCAAACCAAGGGCTTCAAGTTACAAGAAAGGAGATTCTGACTAAACATCCAAGAGAGCTTTATAATGATAAGAGTTGTTCAATAGCGGAACAGACTCCCTCAGATGGTGGTGGACTCTCCTTCATTGGAGGTTGTTAAGCAGAGGTTGGGTGGCCTTCTTTTCTGGATGCTTTTGTTGAGATTCCTGCATTTCAAGGGATTTTGGTCTAGATGACCCATGGGGTCACTTCCAACCCTACAATTCTATGATTCTATAATTATGCCCGTTGTCTTTGTCCATGGAGTTTTCTTGGCAGGGATACTGGAGTGGCTTGCCAGTTCCTGCTCCAAGTGGATCACGTTTGGTCAAAACTCTCCACTATGATCTGTCCATCTTGGGTGCCCTGCTCGGCATCGTTCATAGCTTCTCTGAGTTATTCAAGCCCCTTCGCCATGGCAAGGCAGTGATCCATGAAGGAGAAGGACAGATCCTGAAGCTGAGACCCCAATACTTTGGCCACCTCATGAGAAGAGAAGACTCCCTGGAAAAGACCCTGATGTTGGGAAAGATGGAGGGCACAAGGAGAAGGGGACGACAGAGGACAGGATGGTTGGACAGTGTTCTCGAAGCTACCAGCATGAGTTTGACCAAACTGCGGGAGGCAGTGGAAGACAGGAGTGCCTGGCGTGCTGTGGTCCATGGGGTCATGAAGAGTTGGACACGACTAAACGACTAAACAACAGCAACATAATTATGCCCAATTCAGAACATCCAAAGAGAGGAACAAACAATCCAAACGTGGCTCTGAAGGTTACCTGCCTGCATTCCTGATTAATGTGTGTTGGCATATTTTCTCATCCACCAAAAAGTAACCTGCATAAATAAAAGTTACTGGAAGACTTGATGTTGCTGATCAACAGACTTTGTGCACAAGGGAATTCCTGCGAGGAGGCTGCCCAGCAAGGAAATAGCATTGCATCCCTTCAAATGTTAAAGCTCACCCAGAAAAGAACTGGAGAGGATCAGATGCAAAGTCCTTTCCAAGATCCCCATTGCTTTTAATGGGCTTTGAATCAGTCTCTAATTGATTCTCACCTGTTGAGTTGCATTGGGACGCGGCCTCTTTTACGGCTGAACTTAGAGCAACGCAACTGAGAAGGCCGAAGGCTTTCTGACCTGTTGCTCGGAGCTAATTTTTTTAATGATAGCATCCATTTCGCCTGCAGCCTTCGCTTCAGAACTTAAACAGCTTGTCAGATTTCCCCGCTGCCCCTTCTTAAACACAGCTAAAATATGAAGTTCCCACTGAGCTTAGCTTCGCTGCGTGTTGAATGGCTGATGGCCAAGTAACCTGCAACAAGATGAGATAATGAGAGAAAATCCGACAGACTGTGAAATCCGAACGGCACACCACTGAGCGTGGCTCAAGGCTGCGAGGAACGGCAGAGAGAGAACAGGCATCTCTGCAGAACTTGAGCGAGGCTGATCAGGAACTGGGGCTCACCTGGGATTAGCCTCTGAACCTGTTTTTCATGCCAAAACTCAGCCCAGAAACATATAATGTACCAATAAGAAGGGGAGAAAAGGCTGGTGTTTTCTGTTTCACTGAGTAACTGTAACCAGCAGGTCTACGTAAGAACTGGATCAGGCCAAAGGTCCCTTTTCTCCAAGGGAAACTGCCTTGTATCAGGTCAGAACAGGTATCCAGTTGAGTATAGTCTACACCAGAGGTAGCCAACATGGTGCCTTCTAGTTGCTGCTGGGCCACAACTCCCATCAGCTCCCATGCACATGGCCAACGTTCAAGGATGGTTGACATTGTAGGCCAGCCACATCTGGGAAGACACCAGATTGGCTGCCTCTGCTTAACACTGACTATCAACAGCTCTCCAAGTTTTCAGGACAGGGAACTTCCCAGTCCTACCTGCAGATGCTGTGGATTGAACCCGTCCAGACACATTTTGCATGCAAAGCAGATGCTTTGCCACTGAGCAATGGCCTTGCCCTTGACAAATAACTAAGATTCCAGTCCTCATGGTTCTGAAGATTTAGATATGAACAGAGGAGCTGCCTAAGACCAAGCTCACTGGGTCAGTCGTCATATCTCAGCCTCACCAACCTCACAAGGGTTCCTTTAAGGATAGAATGGGTGGGAGAGAACAATGTATGTTCTTCTTGAGCTCCTTAGAGGAAAGGCGGGGTGTAATTAATTAATTATCAGAACCTCTTCAGTTTGTCCTGAACCTCCTGCCGTTCAATTAGGGGCATCAGGCTGGGGGAGGCTGCTGTAGAATCAAAGAACCTGGGTAATTGAAGTCTATGCCACTGATCCGCTCCACCATCTATTTCCAAAATGAACAATAATGGTGCTTTAATGGAGAATAGTTATTTCCCCACGTCAGTTCATTAATCCGTCGCCACTGCAAGCTCATTACAACCACCCAGATTCGGTGACGTTAATGAATGAGTTTACCCATGGAAGGTCCTGAACCGAACGACTTCAAGAAAGGAAGTTGTCTCGCGTGAGGGATGGCTGTTTACTGCTGAATGCACAGAGCAGAGCCAGTTCAAGTTTGTTAACGCACAGGCCACTTGGAAAGCCTAACACAATCCCGGAGGGCTGTGGCTAATTATATATTTGGTTTTCCTGCAGGTGGGCTGGATTTGCATGTCATTTGCATGAAAATGGCGGGTGCCAGCTGGTGGGCAGGCTGTATTTATTTGGGGATCCATGATAGAGCATGGAGCCATTTCATCTAAATCCCGAAATGTGCTCAGAATTCATGTGATCTGAAATGCTGAGTAATTCCAGGCTGTTATTATTTACGGGTGGCATTCAACGGCTTAGGCCCCATCTGCTCTATACATTTATAACAGCGTATCATGTCTCTTTAAACAGTCATGGCTTCCCTCCAAAGAATCCTGAGAACTGCAGTTTGCTAAGGGCATTGAAAGTTGTTCGGTGACCCCTGTTCCCCTGATAGAGCTACAATCCCTAGAATATTCTGTCTGTCCCGCCCCTCTTTGACACAAAAGCTTCCTCACTACTAGAACTCTGTAGTCTCATCTTAAAGGTAATGGTAAAGGGACCCCTGACCATTAGGACCGACTCTGGGTTTGCGGCGCTCATCTCGCTTTATTGGCCGAGGGAGCCGGCGTACAGCTTCTGGGTCATGTGGCCAGCATGACTAAGCCGCTTCTGGAGAACCAGAGCAGCGCACGGAAACGCCGTTTACCTTCCCGCCGGAGCGGTACCTATTTATCTACTTGCACTTTGACGTGCTTTCGAACTGCTAGGTTGGCAGGAGCAGGGACCGAGCAACGGGAGCTCACCCCGTCACGAGGATTCGAACCGCCGACTCTCTGATCGGCAAGTCCTAGGCTCTGTGGTTTAACCCACAGCGCCACCCGCATCCCCAGTCTCATCTTAGGAGACTGCTTATTTTGCTACCAAGTCATCACAGCACAAGGAACAATGTTGTCTATCCAGGGCTGTCCCAAGACATTTTGGCACCTGAGGCAAACCACAACATAGCTCCCCCCCTCCCCCGTCAGGGAAGAAGAGTGGAGTGGAGATCTACATCAGGAACAAGGAGGGAATAAAGAACTACATTGAGACCTGCTGCTCTTGTGAATCCTGCTGCCTGAGGCGGTCACCTTACCTTGCCTCATGGGTGGGCCGGCCCTGTGTCTGTCACTGGTGAGCTTCAGGGGCTCCTTCTTAGTCAGCCTTGTCTGTACAGTACTCTCTTCAAATGATGTCCTTGAAAGAGGCAACGACTCATCAGCATCCTGAATTCCATGGCGATTAAAATGTATGGGTTTTCTCCATGCTGCCGTCAGAATGCTCTAAAGGGGAGAAGGGAGAGGGGAAGCTGGTCACAAATGTGCTTTCATCTGCAAATTCTTGGAGATGAATGTAGCTTGCAAAATGAGAGATTTGACAGGATATGAAACCATCTTTGTGCTGGGTAGCAATCAACAAATTAAAATGCAGTCAATAATACTGCCTTGGCAAAACTTCTCTGTCATCAGCTGCTTTCCCTCTGAGAGTGACAGGGCTGTGCCTGTGTCATGCTAAAGAGGGCAGAGGAGATGCTTCGGCTCCCTCAGTCTGGGATATTCAGTGACAATTGATCCAAGCGTACCATTTCCCTTTGCACAATGCTAAACGCAAACGTCCACTGCAGATCATGCAAAGGAGAGAAACAAGTGTCTGCAAGCAACCATTTTGCCACACTGTTTGCCACAGCACTGGTGGCACAGGGAGAGACAAGGCGAGGGACCCCTGGGGAGAAAGAACTCAGCCTGGGATCATCTAGCCATCCACATCCTCTGCTTCTGGTTCAAAAAAGCAACATTTGTGGGTCTTTTTCACCTTGATTATACAGGGGTACCTCGGGTTACAGATGCTTCAGGTTACAGACTCTGCTAACCCAGAAATAGTACCTCAGGTTAAGAACTTTGCTTCAGGATGAGAAGAGAAATTGTGCTCCGGCGGCGTGGCAGCAGCGGGAGGCCCCATTAGCTAAAGTGGCGCTTCAGGTTAAGAACAGTTTCAGGTTACAACTTCCGATTGGCTCGCCCGATTATGGCAGACAGGAGTTCTTTCACGGAAAGGGCACCGGCACTTTGAAGACAGGGAAGAGCCGCTAGAGCACAGCGGTGCCCCGAAAAACCCTCAGATCAAGCGTTCTGAGGACCTGGAGTTCCTGCAAGTGCCGGGAACGACTCCCCTGCTCCCCGGTAAGCTCTGAAAAAAGAGCACCAAGTGCGAGCGGGGTTGGAGATGGTGGCACAAGGGAATCAACTCGCTTCCTTCAAAGGTTACAGACTCTGCTAACCCAGAAACAGTACCTCAGGTTAAGAACTTTGCTTCAGTTTGAGAACAGAAATTGTGCTCCAGTGGCGTGGCAGCAGCAGGAGGCCCCATTAGCTAAAGTGGCACTTCAGGTTAAGAACAGTTTCAGGTTAAGTACGGACCTCCAGAACGAATTAAGTACTTAACCTGAGGTACGACTGCTCAGCAATGCGCAGATTCACTGTATGAGTCCAAATGGCCTCCGTTAACAGGAAATGACACCAAAAACGTCAGTGATGATCGCATTTACAATGGAAGGGGCCATAGCTCAGTTGCAGACCATGTGCTTTGCATGCAGGAAGTTCCAGGATCAATCTCCCACATCTCCAGGTAGCTTGTAGACTGGACTACCGCAATGTGCTCTAGCTGGGGCTCCCCTTGAGGTTGGTTCAGAAACTACAGCTAGTGCAGAATGCTGCTGCCTGGCTTTTGGCCAGAACAGCTCTGGATCAGTATATAATACTGGGGCTGAAAGCTCTGCTCTGGCTGCCAGAATATTACTGAGCTAAGCTCAATGCATTCCTGATAGTGTTGAGAGCCCTAAATGGCCTGGAACCTGTTTATGTAAGCATACCTCGAAGGATAGCCCCACATAAAGCACATTGCAGCAAACCACTCTAAAGGCTACCAAGAACTGCAACACAGTAAGCCTTTTCCCTTAGATACAAGCCAGATCACTGCAATCTGAAGAAGTGCTCCTGTCCTAAAGGTCTCACAGTTAATCTCATGTTCGTTTTGTTTCTGTGCAAACCGAGGCTTTTTACCGTCGTGGCACCAGGAGTTTAGAACGTCATTTCCATTATAATCAGACAGGCACCTACAGTTCTGATAGTTTGCCACCTGCACAAAACACTTCTTTCTTGCCAGACATTTTTAGAGGATCGGTTTGTTTCAGCACTGGTCATTAGTTCTGTATTTTAACGATGTAATAATTTTACGACGTTTTATATTCTGCATCGCGTGATGCTTTTTTGGGAATGAGTTGGCAGTTTAGAAATAATCCAATAAATAAATACCACATAGGCAACCCATAGCATAGATATAATCAGGACTCAGCCCCCGTCCCACCCCCACCCCCCGCTGTAAACCTCACATAGTTTTATGCAACTTAACATTGCGAGAGGCAATTGGACGGAAGGGGGGTTTGGTTGACAGGGAGATCGCTTGAAACCCTAGCATCTTCTGCAGGCAGAAATTAATGTTTTGGAACATAATATTATTGGATTGGTTTTAAATAGATGTTTCCCTGCTCTTTGGTAATAAAATGAATGCCGCAACGAGAGCCAGAGGAATATGATATAAACCCAGGCTGATTATTGCTTTTGGAAGAGCATCTCTCGATATTTCCCTCCATCCTCCGTTTGACGCTGGAGCGTGAGTAGCAAACGACAGGCGGCGAGAAGCAGATGAATGCCTATTTATGCAGGAATATGGAATGTATGAATAGTGATTTGGAGGACAAATGTATTTTGACAGGTATCTAATTTCATTCTGTTGATAAAATGCACTTTGTCAAGTACTCAAGCACTTTCTGTGCTTGACAGTTGTTATATTTTCCCTCTCCATCTTTTTCCCTTTTTTTTTTTGGGCTGGTGTCTTTTTTTTTTTTTTTTTACAAAAGATAAACACCCAAGTGCATTTATCAAACACCACAATGCAATTTAATTTAATATCATCACAGATGTGTGTTTGCTTTTTTAAAAAGATGCAAATATCTGGAGATAAATTATCTACCACACGCAACTGCACGAAACAGGGATTTCTGATGCAAGACTGAGAAAAGTGTTACAGAGGAGTTACCAATTGAGCAGGGTTATGCTGAACATAGAGCTTTTTTTACTATCAGTTTCAGCAGTATCAAAAAGTATCCCCCACTTACTGCTATTTCTTTTCCCCGTTTTCTTTGTAAACACTTTGAGAGAGGACGAAAACATTTCCTGATTCAGGAAACATTGCCCTTCCTCCCAGTTGGCTTTGTTTGCCCCTAATCTGATTGGCTACCTGGCACAATGACATCACCTCTTTACTATTCTGTCCCTGATTGTCTATGATTCCTCACTTGGCTGTTCCAAGAAGAAGAAAACTTAATTGTCCGGTGGAAATGGCACCATAGCAGTGGCAAGAGGGGAAACAATGTCTGTGGAATAAAAAAAGAAGTGAACATGTGCATGGTTAAGAGGGGGTTGACCACCTATCAGGGAAGTTATAGCAACATCTGGGGAGTGCACCAGCTCACATGTGAGATACCTTCAACTTTATGATTCTACAAATGCCTAGGGGTTCTCTGCTCCCCCCTGTAATTCAAGCACTGGTTTTATGTGCTTCTGCAATCAGTTTGGAAATTTCTCTCTTGTTTCCTCTGTTCATTTCCCTGTTTAGGACACATGCTGGGAATCTCAACCTATCTCACAAGTACATAGGCGGTAGATCCAAACACTCCACAAGAATTGTAAGGTCTGAAGCCATTTTTACTCAAAGTACACAAAAATAACAAATACAGTGGTACTACGGGTTAAGTACTTAATTCGTTCCGGAGGTCCGTTCTCAACCTGAAACTGTTCTTAACCTGAAGCACCACTTTAGCTAATGGGGCCTCCTGCTGCTGCCACGCTGCCGGAGCACGATTTCTGTTCTCATCCTGAAGCAAAGTTCTTAACCTAAGGTACTATTTCTGGGTTAGCGGAGTCTGTAACCTGAAGTGTATGTAACCCGAGGTACCACTGTACTATGAAAGATAATAAATGTGAATGGCCAAGGATCCTGTTAAGTTGTGGGTGAACATATCAGACGCACAGCGATTCTTCTTCAAACAGCTCTTGTTTATTCACAGGCCAGAACAGAACTGAACTGAAGGGTTCAGCCAGCCTGCTTATATAGAGCTCCACTAGAACGCAACAGTAACCATTTTCTGTAACTATCCAATCACTGAACGTCACTTTCGATCCCTTATTTGCATATGTGGACCTGAACTATCTACAGTATCCCCCTGCTGGCCCAGGGTGAGAACTTCAGTACATAACAGATCCGTTACAGCAAAGCAGAACAATTCGTGTTTGGGAAGGAGGGCTGTGTAGGGAAGCAGCAGCTACAAAGGTCAAGAAGCATTGATTCATCAGCAGACCCTAAGCCATAGAATCCTAGAAACTAAGAGGTGCTTGTAAGTCATCTAGCTCAATGAAGGAAATCCAGAAGTAGAACTTCTTCCCATCATGAACTGGCTGTCCAGGCTCTGCTGCAAAACTTCCAAAGACATAGCTGTCAACGTTTCCCTTTTTTTAAGGGAAATTCCCTTATTCCGAATAGGATTCCTCGCAAGAAAAGGGAAAAGTTGGCAGCTATGTCCAAAGAGGAAGCAGGAGAGTTTACCAGCCCTCTAGTTAACTGGTTCCATTGTTGAACTTCTCCTGTTTTCAGGTTTCTCCTACCGTTCAGCCATATTCGACCCTCCTGTAGCTTAAGTCCAATAGATCTAGTCGTCCCTTCACTGCTGCCTTCTGCATCACAGCCCTGCCAGATCTGAAAAGTATTTGAAGATTCAGGACAGGCAACAGGAATGTAGGAAGCTGCTTTATACTGAGTAAGTCAGGCCACTGGTCCTTCTAGTTCAGTGTTGTCTGCACTGACTGGCAGCAGCTCTCTGTGGTATCAGACAGGGAAAGTTTCCCAACCCTAAAATGTGTTGAGCTTGGGACCTTCTGCAAGCACGGCAGATACTCTACCACTGAGCTATGGCTGTTCCCTGAACTCAGCAGTGCTACTGCTCATGTCCCCTTCCCAGGCTTCTCTTCTCCAGCTAAGCATATCCAGTTCCTTCAACCATTCCTCATAGGGCTCTTTTCCCAGCCTATGGCCATCTTTGTTGAACCTGAGAGTGAGAGGAAGGAAGGGGTGCTGGACCAGCAAATGGACCCTTATAAGCAAATGGCTTAACA